ACAGTTGAGAAATCAAGTCAGGAAAATGATAGAGCTACCCAGGGTGAGATGAAATCTAAGAAAAGCAGCGCCCCCACAACTCTCCAAGTCAGGATATGCTTCATATGCTATGGTTTTCGACACATCTTTTTTAGTTGTCCGATGAGCTGAGTTGTGTCCTTCATCGGGCAAGGTGCAGTGGAGGAAATGAGTGACGAAGAGGAAGCTAAAGAATAGGGTCAAGAGCGTCAGCTTCCATCAGATGAGGGTGAGATGCTGGTGGTTCGACAGGTCCTTCAGGCTAAGGCTATGAGGGAGCAGCAGTGGTTTCGCCACAATACATTCTACACCCATTGCACTACTAAGAGAAAGATATAGTCTCATCATTGATGAAGAAAGTAGCAAGAATGTGTCATCTATACATATGATACACAATTTAAGTTTCATGACTCAGAGGCACTCCCAGTCATACCCGCCATGCTGCCACCTGTACAAACCCTTACAGCCTCCCCACCACCCTAGCAATGTGTGTGTCGTGTTGCTTGTTGTTTTTTCCAGTTTTCGTATATGGTTGTAACGTCTATTGGCTTTTTCAATAATAATTATTGCTTTTCTTATTGTGGTTTAGATTAATTCTGGCATCAGAGAAGGGTCGCAACAATTCATCAAGCTAAGCATAATCGCCTCAAGTTTGGGGCAAAGCTTCATTAAGAATTGATTGTTTTTGCTTTCTTCATGAACTTCTCTTACTGCTAAAATAGATTCATAAGGTATACTTGAATATATTATATCAACTACTTTTATCATAAGTTTTGAAGCCAGAAAAATTAATACTAAGTTGAGAGGACTCCATCAAAGTAATTCAATCTAATATTCCAATTGAAAACACTTAATTGCAATACCTTGATTGTCAACTTTTCATAAATATTCCCACAGATCTTTAGTCATTTTATATGCATCAAATTGAGAACAATTGTAAGATTAAAAGATCTGAAGATCCAAATCATATCCCTGTCGATCAACATTTTGATTATTTAAATTTAATTTAATATAAAAGGTATGTAATTTTTTTTAAATTTTAAAAATATTGGTGTTTTAATTTTTTAAAAAATGAGACCGAGCAGATCTCATTAGTCTAGTAGTTTGCATAATCATGCCCGATATCGCGAATACTACACATTCCCGAAAGATGTGTATACCTCGGCAATAAATCCAATCCTGCAAAACAAGAAATTTATGACATTTGTTTGGTCTGCAAATCTTTTATGTATTCTGACGAGTGTGACGGACAAGTTCCCCTATCTAATATAAAGATTAGGTAGGGTTTATTTTACCTGGGTTTCAAGTTCCTTATAGAGGCAAACCCCTATAGTTAATTACATCTCAACTGACTGAGATCACTTGAGAAAACTCTCGATAATGATCAAAGATATTAGTCTTCAAGAATTCAAAGTTTAGGTTTTCATGGTAGGACATGTAAAATCAATTGAGAGTGGTTCAAATAGGAACAATTATTTTCAGGAGTCGAATGAAGGAAACGGTAGAGAACGTCACAGATCTTAAGGAGAACCCTCAGTGACTTCCCAAACTATCTTACTGAGGGCTGCGTTTTGGAGACGGTGTTATTTAAGTGTTTAATCCTGCCAATTTTATTTTTTGACTTATATTTGCATGATATCTGATTATGCAAATAACCCACAGAGATAGAAGGGTTCACGTCGTACCCGATGACAACCTCGGAACTAAGGCGTGTTAGGACTTATGTCGCGCAATATTGTTTCATAGGAGCCTAAAGATAAGTTGAGGATTTACGTCGTGCTAGACGGACTACCTCGAAGTCCTATGGCTTGTTGTCGGCTTGTCGTTTAAACTAAGAAACAGACTCATTTGCTCCTTGAAGATGTCCATATGTCCTTCTGTAGACCTTCGTCGTGTTGCCCACGGCATATGTTGCAAGCTCCTTATTGAAGTAGCAGTCTTAAGATGTAAGGATCAAAAAATTTTATCAAGTATGTTTCAATGTTTTGGGTTTCGTTGTTATTATTGTTGTTTTGATTTTGCATGTAAAGTAAAGAAGTTCAGGAAAGGAAATATTGTGAAGTAAATAAAGGAATTACAATGCATAAAATAAAATGCATACTTGGGCTTCTGTTGTCGATGCATGATTAGTTCATAAAGCATAATATAATTTGCAAGGAATTTAAATAAATTGCAGAAAAAAAAGGAAAAACAGAAATTATTGTGTAAAAAACAGTAAAACGAGTCGCAACACGAACAGACAAAGCAAAATCCGTGATCACATATAGAAGACCAAGACTAGGTACAAAACATCGGTAAAGATGGGGGCTCGGAGCTGGAATGTGTGTTTCCTGACCTTGTACAAGAGCTACTAACCCGACAATCTACGGAGGACAGTCCTTAACTTCGATCCAAATGACTAATCATGGACCTTTATAAGTTTTCATAAAAACATTTTGATTTTCATACAAAAGCTGTTGTTTAAGTTTTTTATGCAGAATTTTTTTTAACAAGAAAAAGAGATTTTATTTTATTTTTTAAATATTTTGTAAAGTACTGCAGTTCACAGGCTAGTCAATCTAATCGAGATAGGACTACTGACAGCCTAAGAACGTCGGGGGCAATAATCTCACCAAGGGTCAGCGAATTGAGAACATACCCTCATAGAGATCTTTAAATCTTCCTGAATTATAGATAATCACTTATGAGAATTTTTTTGAAACAAACCAACATTAGTTCATCTAGCCGTGCCTTGGAGATCCTCAAGAGATCTTTAAAAAGAAAAATTGACGACTGCTTTAGCTCATTGGTTCTGATACATAAAATATACCATAAAATTACTATAGTTTTATTCCATCCTCGACCCATAATTATACAAACCAAGGAGGTGGCATTCATAAGAAAACGGATTAATGAGGTGGCATGCAAGGAGCCGACTTATCTATAATTCAGGAAGTTTAATTTCATTAGCACGAATCTGCGATGGCATGTAAGGAGCTGATCTAACCATAATTCATGGAGATAATTTTTTAGTTACTTATAAAGGTTGATAGCTTACTCATTGTTCATTTATACGTAATTTGGAAAACGCAAGCCAAACAAATTGCTCTAAGTTTATTCCAGTTAAACGGTTGTCAGTGTTCTTTGAGCCACAAACTTCTGGCTTAAGAAAACCCAGTAGCATATCCTTCAAACAAACAAAATATTAATACTTACATGAAAATATGCCCCAAATTTTCTGGCTTAAGTACACAGTTTACGACTACAGATATCATTGTTCCAACCAACCGAATTCTCCCCAGAACTATTTTATTCCATAAATAGAAGTGCTTTATTTAAGAGCAGCAAAGTTATGGGAACAAATCCTGGATGATTGTTGGAAAACTCCAGGTAAATATATGCCACTTCCACAATGCTTCTGAAATGTCCTTCCAGCCATAAAAGTATTGAATACAGCTGAATAGATTAAGCCCATGTAGCACCGACACTTCTAAAAATGTGATGTACTCATGTCGGACATGTATTGGACACCGACACGCCTCCATACTTCTCCGACATTACAAAATATATGTTTGAACTTTTTTTAGGCCCGAACACGTCCGAGGACACACCTCAACACGACATCAGACAATAGTATAACACGATTTCGAGAAAATGAGAAACGGAAATTAGAAAATTATAAATATAAGTATAGCTTTAGTTATTCCTGGTAATCGAAACCGCCCCATTTCTCATCATGTTGAAGACACCTCTAGAATCCAGGCATTAGTAATTTCTTCTTTGTAATCATAGGATTTTTTAAATTTTAATAGATAAGTTGGATTATAAGCTCGATAAATTCTTTTGAAACATATTATATCTAATTTTAAAAATTCATTTTCATAAATATAAGGTTTTATAATATAAATTAAATTTGTGAATTTAAATTTTATTCATGCATGATTTGTGTTGTGATATTTTTAATAAAAACTAATGAAAAAATATATATTTTATATTAATAATCAATAAAATATAAAAAAGTGTCTATGACATATCGTGTCCTATATTTTCAACAATGTTGTGTTCTCATATCGTGTCATGTCTATGTCCCCGTGTTTGTGTCAATGCTTCATAGGATTAAGCCAACATTTCAATATTTCAAACTAATCCATGAATTTCTAAGATAGCTAAAAGACTAACTGAGGGAAAAAAAATCATGAATGGTCTTGAAATTACTAAAAGACTGAGGGAAAAAAAATCATGAATGGTCTTGAAATTTCAAGTTTCAACCCATGTAATCCTTCTAAAGTTATTGCAGGAATAGCAATCATTTTACTATGGAATGAAGAAAGGGTACAACAACAAGCCTTTATCCCACTAAATGGGGTCAGCCACATGAATCATGTTTTTTCATTGTGTCCTATTGAGCGTGATATTTTTATTTTATTCTAATAGATTAAGATTATTTTTTATACAATATGCTCAAGTCTTTCTAGGTTTACTTCTGCCTTTCTTCACATAAGTCAAATCTAAAATATCTAATCTCCTAACTAGATCATCAGATGGTCGACGTTTAATGTGACCAAACCATCTAAGACGACTCTCTCTAATCTTGTCTGTCATTGGAGCTACACCAATCCTTTCACGAATACATTCGTTTCGCATTTGTCTCTAAGTGTCAAGCCACTCATCCACCCAAGCAATCTTATCTCAGCAACACTTAATTTTATGTTTCTCTTCTAAAGGCCAACATTCTACGACATAAAGCATTGCATGTCTCACCACCATCTTATAAAATTTCTCTTTTAAATCTAAGCGGTACTTTTCTATCACACAATAACTCTCTTTTAAAACTAAGCGGTACTTTTTTATCACACAATAGGCCTAATGCATTCCTCCACTTCAGCCATCCAACTTGAATTGTACTAATAACATCCCTATCTATAACAAGATTAATTCTATAGTAAACCCTTCACACCTTTGTGACAAATAAATTCACAAAAATAGATATTACAAGAAATAACCTGTAAAACATGAGCCGCGTATTTTTGAGCTGCGGCACCTTGCTCAGCAGATATCCGTGCATCTTCGGCAACCTTCTGTTCTTGTTCCATCCTCATCAAGACCTGCACAAGGAACAAGTAGATAAGTTATAAATAAAACAGATTAAAGATATCTTTATGAACTACCAGTAAGGAAGGAAAGAAGACAAAAAATAGTAACAAGACCTGAATCATGACACGCTCCCGTTCCTGCTTGTCACTAAGAACCTGATGCAGCTCAGACACCTCTTTCTCCAAGTATTCAACCTATTAGTTAAATATATGCACCGAAGGTCATGGAACTTACGATTTAAAACATATACAAACTTTCTTACATTTAAAGCTGATAATTTTGTTTGAATCTCGAACCCGCTTAAAAATCGCTTGACTGTTACTTAAAATCAAATGCGATTTGTTTTAACTCAAGGAGAACTTCATCAAAATTAATTCGATTCAACTTGAAATCAGCACAGAACATGTACATATATACATGCATATGTTTCTTCACAAATACCTAATACATACATACATGTACTATAAACATTAAAATATTTAAATAGATTTATATTTCATGCATAGATAATAATGCTATACAAAAATTTAATAGAAAATATTAAGAGTACTATAAAGGATTTTCTAAGATTTTTTTTAATATAAGCTTGGTCCAGAGCTGTTGAAATTTCAACTCAAAATCCATTATTTTCAACTCATTAAAACTTAACTTTAGCCAAAATTGAAATTTTAGAGTTTAAGCCATGGCCAGCTCGCTTCAATTAACTATCTGCCTTTAATATCGGAGTTAATTGAAATGAAAATAGATAAACAAGAATTATTACTGAAAAAGTAAAATAAACGGTCACAACAAAACACAAACTGAAGTGGCAATACCACGACGCAAGACACGTTGTTAGAGTGGATTTCGAGTGGTGGTGGTGGCTGTGAGGGGCTTGAAATAAACGCGGCAGGCGGCAAGGTAGGGATGGTGCGAGACAGCGGGGAAATAGTGGCAATACAGTAAAAGGGGATGGAAATCTCGGTTGATGAGATTGGGACAGAAAGGACTGCAAGTGTGCTGGCAAGCAGAGCAGCAAGTTGCGGTGGGGAAGGATGGAACAGCCAAAGGCCCTTAAGAAAACAGCAGGTTTGCTGTTTTTGAGATGAGGCAGCGAGGGGAAAAGGGCCACGGCCACGAGGCAGCAAGCTGGACTGATGGAAACAGGTGACGGGAGGCTGGACTGAAGGATTAACAACAAAGATTGTCGTCTCGGGCAGCTGCAGCAGCGGAGGAAGA